TAACTGTGATGTCATTCAGGGGGATAAAAGGATCAGAAGTTCAAGGTAATTAATTCAAAGTCAGACCAGGCTAGAAACCTGTCTCCAAAAAGTGTCTCTAGTTGGGCAGTGTTGATGTACACCTTTAATCCCAGCACTTGGGAGGCAGAGGCAGATAGATCTCTGTGAAACTGAGACCAGCCTGGTCTATAGAGCGAGTTCCAGGACAGCTAGAACTGTTGCACAGAGAAACCCTGTCTCCAAAAACAAACAAAAAACCCCAAACAAACGTCTCTAGCCCCTTTTCACAGCTTCTGTTGCCATATCCAGTGCACCTGATGGCAGCAGCTCTGAACTGCAGTGCAGAGATGTGTATGAGGACACACCTCCCGGCCCCAACCCTGCCACACACCACTTCTTACATCTCTGTCCATGGATGTGGACAGTAGAAGCTGCTTGTCATCTTCGGTCTTCAGGGAACACAAATTGAAGATGATTCTGGAGTGATTCTGCCCCTCTGCTGAGGCGCTGAAGAGCGTGTATTTCCGTCTCCACGACTGGGTGAGGTCCCACAGCAGCAGCTCACCTCTGGCAGGGCAAGAGCATACCTCTCAGCAGCTGTTCAGACAGCCTGGACCCTCAGTCGTAGGAGATGTGGTAAAGGCTCCCTTGGTCATTTGCACGATAGAGGAGTGAGACTAAGTCCTCTTCTCAGCTCAAGAGGCTTCCTAACAGGAAACAGAAGGCACACTGCTCTCCCAAGGAGAATGGGGTCTGCCACGGGGAAAACTCTTCCACAAGTGGGCCCATCAGTTTCTGACAGCGCTCACAACCAGCTTTAAACTGTCAGTCCCAACTGCTGCTGCTGCAGGCCCTCCCTTAGTGGTCACACTTTCTGCTTTACAAATTCGTTGTGCCCAAACAGAACTGTTTTTTGCCAGGTGACAGTGGTGGCAGCAGCACAAGCCTTTAATCTCAGCACTCAGTAGTCAGGAGACTCTCTGTGAGTTCCTAGTATATAGAGCAAGTTCCAAGACAGCCACAGCTACACAGATCTCACCCCCCGAAAAACAAAAGCAACAAAACAAAAAAACAGAAACTGTTTTTTGAGTTAGGTATGGTGGCGTGCACTTTTCTAAATTCAGTTGAGAAGGCTGAGGCAGGAAGAAGTTCAAGGACACCTCTATTTGTGAGAACCTTCAAAAATTAAAAAAGGACCAGGAGTGGGGGCAGGGTCAGGTGAACCTCTGTGAGTTTGAGACCATCCTGATCTAGAGTTCCAGGCTAGCCACAACTACATACTACCCTTCCCCAACCAAAAATATCAACAACAAAAAAATAAACAAAGGACTAGTGATATGGGTCAATGGTAAAGCACTGGCCTCCAGGCCTGACCTGAGTCCTATCTCTGGAATCCATGCTGGAGAGAGAGAACCAATTCCTGAAAGTTGTCCTCTTCTCAACTTGTGTGTAGACACAAGCCATGGCAAACGTGCGAACACCCAACAAACAAATACATCTCTGAAATATTTTAAAGCAAAGCAATGAAACTGCAGCATGCAATCCTATCTTTACTCATCTACAGGAAGGAAAAGGAAGTGCCTCTGGAAGGTGGCAGAGGGAAGGATCCCTGTATGCTTTTACTCCTCAAACTTCAACTTTTTAAAAAGTTTTTCTGAGGGGCTAGGGAGATGGCTCAGTGGTTAAGAGCACTGACTGCTTTTCCAGAGGACCCAGGTTCAATTCCCAGCATGCACATGGCAGTTTACAATGGTCTGACTCCAGATCCAGGGGACCTGGCACCCTCACGCAGATATACATGCAATGAAGGCAAAATACCAATGCACATAAAAATAAATAAATCTTTAAAAAAAATTTTTTTTGAGAGAGTCTTGCTATGTATCCCAGGCTAGCCTGAAGATCATTCTGCCTCAGCCTCTGGAGGACTGGTTGTTTTAGGCAGGGCCTAGCAATGTCCATGTACTACTGTACTACCTTTTAAAGGCCTTTATCTTCAGATTTAGCTTTAATTTATAAAAATCAACTAAAACTTGCAAAGTTCAAGATTTATCATTTTAACATGACAGGAGGTAGTGTGGCTGATATTCTGGGCAATTTGCATGTGCTTTTCTGTTGTCTTATTTAAAAGCAAGGAACTAGCGTGTGAAATTCTCTCAGCGTCTTTGGCAACCAGGGGCAATTTGGCACTGTGAAATACATATTTAGTCTTTGCTCTTGTTGGCATGTATCTCTGAAGCAGTATCTTTTGCACATTAAGCTGGTACCTGCAGCCTCTAGGTAGCTTCAAAATGTTAGCTGGTCACTCAGCAGATCCAGGTAGGATAAGGGAGTGACTTGCAGTCCCAGCCCAACCTTAAGGAAGGGGAGGGACCAAGATAAGCTGGTCACAGATGGCTTCATCAATTACATGTATTTAATGATGACGATGAGTCCATAAAACCCAAAGGACTGGAGATGCTTTCTCTTTCCCACATGCTGCCCTGAGCATCTCATCTCAACTGTACCTCTTTGAATATATGATAAATAGGTGAGTTTTATGAGTGGCTCATGTCAATGAACCAAACCAGGGAACTCTCTGTAAACCTGGTTTACAGAGCAAGCTCAAGTCAAACCACTTAGGGTTCTCAATTAGCATGTACATGTGCATGTGGGTGGGGGGCAGAGAGCCTGCAAAGACACCCCGAGGAGCTAGGATTCGGTTAGTAAACAGCACAGGCCTCATGAATTTTCTCATCTATTATTTCATATATTTCATTATTTCATGCTAAGATGGCTGGGCAAGGTGAGGCACTTAAGAAGCTGAGGCAGGAGGATCCTAAGTTCTAGGTTAATCTGTGCCCTACACCAGACTCTGAATTTTGAAAAAAAAAAAAATTACAATGATAACATAAATCTTGGTTATTTCTCCATTTTCTTTCTTTCTTTTTTCCCCCCAAGACAGGGTCTCTCTGTGTAGCCCTGGCTGTTCTGGAACTCACTCTGTAGATGAGGCTGGCCTCTAACTTGAGATCCGATTGCCTCTGCCTCCCAAGTGCTGTGATTAAGGACGTGTGCCACCTATTTCTTCATTTTCTGAACATACAATAAGCCTGGAAATTTCCAAATTTGAACAGGAAAATAGTATTTATTTGAAAGCATGACCCTAAGACTTACCCAAAACAACTGGATACCAGCTGTGTTGGCTGGTTGTTGGGCCAATGAAGTGTCAACCAAAGACGTTCTTTAACTGCTGGGTCCACACCCCCTCCTCTCCTCTTCAGAAAGGGCAATTTCAAAACCATTATCCCTGTAGATTAGAAGAAAGTCAGTGAGCTCTCAAAACAGTGAAAGAACACCCTGAACCTTCCAGAAAGCCTCAATTCTATGGTCTCAAGTTGTCTGGTTAAGTTAAAGGAAAACCTTGGGAGCTAGAGTGATGACTCAGTAAAGTATTCATCATGTGAGCATGAAGACTCCAGCACCCATTGAAAGGAAGTCTGCTGCAGTTGGGGTAAAGACACAGGCAGAGCCCTGGAGCTTGCTGGCCAGCTGCTAGTCTAGCCTCATCACTGAGCTGCAGGTTCAAAGAGGTCCTGTCTCAAAAAAAAAAGTCTGAGAGAAACAACACCACAAACATGAAGAACTGAGGAAGATACCTAACAACACCAGCACACACAAAGAACACCTCCTTTTATTATGGGAACATTACTAAGATAGAGGTTAACTCCAATCTAGCCATTTAAGCCAAAGAGGCTTTTATAGGCTCTCCAGAAACTTGAAAAATTAAGAGTACTTTGTGCAGGGAGGTGGTGATCCATGCCTTTAATCCCAGCACTCAGGAGGCAGAGGCAGGTGGATCTCTGAGTTCAACGCCGCCTTGGTCTATAGAGTGAGTTCCAGGGCAGGCAAGGCTATACAGAAAAGCCCTGTCTTGAAAAATCAAAAAGTATCTTTGGAGTAGGCTGGGGAGATAACCTAGTTCATAAAGTGATTGCCTTGCAGGGATTAAAATTCGAATTTGAATCCCAGGACCCATATAAAAAACCAGGCATGCCGGGTGGTGGTACACGTCTTTAATCCCAGCACTCAGGAGGTGGATCCCTGATTTTGAGGCCAGGTTGGTCTACAAGGCAAGTTCCAGGATAGGTTTCAAAGCTACGCAGAAAAATCTTTCTCGAAAAACCGGGAGAAAAAAACCCCAAAAAACGTAAACCAAAACAACAACAGACATGATAGCTAGCATATGCTCCAGATGCTACGGAGGCAGAAGATGGGTTCCCTGGCTAACCATCCAGTCTAGCCAACTTGTCAAGTCCAAGTCAGTGAGAAATTGTGTCTTTAAATGGCACCAGAGCAATAACACCAAAGGTTACCCTTTGCCTGTAGATGCATGTATATACATGTGAACATTTGAGTATTCTTATGTGGAAAAGTGAGTTCTTAATTAGAATAAGAACCTACCTGAAATTGTCAACAATTGCAGGACAGTGGGATTTTCCTAGATCAGCGGTTCTCAACCTTCCTAATGCTGAGACCCTTGAATACAGTTCCACACATTGTGGTGACCCCAAACAAAATTATTTTCATTGCTATTTCAAAACTAATTTTGCTGCTACTATGAATCATAATGTAAATATCTGATACGTGGGAAATCTGATACTTAACTCCTGTGAAAGGATCATGTGACACTCAAAGGGGTTTCGACCCTGTAACTGTAATGGGCAAATCTGGCAGTTGACATATTGTGTCAGGGCAATCTCCACTGATACTGACCTGGAGGGCTGTGCTGTTCACCATAACCACAAGTATAACATTAAAAACACACAAACCAGGGTCTGAGTTCAGAGATCTAACTCAGGAGACTCCAAGTGGGGTCTGGAAAACTGAACTTTTTCAGTACTCTCCAGCAGGTCTGCTGTTCAAGGGGAATCCAAGGCCACTGTACACAGCATCATGTTCAGGGATCCTCAGACAGATGTCCTGGGAGGTCCAATTGCGGGTGTATGTTTAGGTTAATTTGAACAAAAGTGGTGATCCTTGCAAGACAGCTCAGTGGTCAGAGAGTTGGTCACATACATCCGATGACCTGAGTCTGATCCCTAGGACCCACATAAAGGTATGAGCCAACTCTAGAGCTACCTCTGACCCTCATATGCACACACTGTCTACCCAACAGCAATAAATAGAAGTCTGAAGACAATGTGAACATAGCAAGCTTGTTCAAGTGCACAGTGTGCATGTTGGGTCTGTATGACCTGCTCTGTATTTGTCTCTAGGAGCTACAACTCGGGTTATTTCCATTCTTAAGAGTCAAGGAAAATCCATTATCCCTGTTCTTACAGTAAACATCTTGTTCTCAGGGGATCTCTGTGAGTCTCGGGACACCTTGGTCTACATAGTAAGCTCAAGGACAGACTTGCTTTGCACGGTAGGCATAGCTCCTTCAGCAAAGCAAGGGTCCTTGTCTTCTGGAAGGTACCAGAAAACAGACACAAGTAGCTAATTCTACTGTAGCAGTACAGGCTTTGCCATCAAAGAGACAATGAGACAGAATATAGGAAACTTGGGAAGAGAGGCTCAGTGAGCTATTATCTAGATTAGTTTGGCCTCTGAGCATGTCTGTGGGGGACCATCTTGACTGCCAACAGATACAGGAGGGCACAGCCCACTATGGGATATATTCTTACATAGGTGGTCCCAGCCTGTACAAGAAAGTCAGCTAAGCATAAGCCAGGGAATGAGCCACCATGTGACGTTTCTCCTTCAACTCCTGCCTTGACTTCCCTCAATGACAGACTGCAACCTATAAGGTGAAATAAAACCTTTCCTTCCTTAAGTTACTTTTGATTTGTTTTATCAGAGCAACAGAAAGGAAGCTAGAACACAGCCTACAAATGGGTGGCCCCATCCTTGGTTTAGGTAGAGAAAGCTGAGCAGTAGGTGTGCATGCACCAGCCCCAACTGTGGATGTAACCAGCTGCTTCAAGTTCATTCTGGCTTCTCTAAAACAATGGACTGTAGGGGGCTGGAGAAAAATGGCTCAGTTAGGAGGACTTGTTGCTCTTCTAGAAATGCCAGGTTCCGTTTCCAGCATCCACATGGGGAGCAAAGAACAGTTTATAACTACAGTTCCTAGAGTATCCAGTGCCCTCTTCTGGCTTCCATGAGCACATACATAGTATATAAACATATGTGTATGCAAAATACTCATACACATAAAAGAAAAGCCAAGCAATCTTTAAAAAAAAAATAATGATGGGCCAAAATCCGAGTTAAACTGATTACACTCTTACTCCCTCCACGTTGGTTTGTTGTGGCTATTTTAGCAACAGAAATGAAAGTAGTACAAACACTAGGAATCAACCTTACCCCGCCCTCGGGAACAGCTCCAGATTCGAATGGTCTGATCCTTGCTTCCCGTGGCTAAGTAGCAGCCTTTTGTAATGGGGGTTTCTGTTACAAGTTTCCCATTGGGAATGTCAGGCTCTTCTAGGAAAGAGATGGCAATTTTATTTTTAATTCACAATGAACAAGCACTTGTGACTTAAAAAGTTACTTCCCAAAACTCAGCTCTCCCTTTCCTAGTCTGATCTGTGAAGCTCAAGTTTTACATATAATTCAGAAGTAGCAATTCTATACTTTTTCTTTAGGTCTGAGGAGAACAAAGCCTCCTTCGATCGTCTCACCTGAGTTTTCCTCTTGGTTTAGGGGTAAGCAGTCTTCACCAGACAGAGGACACCAGGCTATGGAGTGGATCTCATCATCATGACCTCGAAGTCTGTGAATGACTTCTCCCTTTTTACTGATGTCAATGATAACCACTATACCATCCTTGTAGCTGAAAAATAAGTTAGAAACATCACAGGGGCCTGCAGATTCACACTGCTAAGCCTCTCCCCTTTCTGAGTTCTAACCTAGGCAGCACAACTTCCCTTTTCTTCCTTTCTGTCTTGTCAGATACCAACTCAAATCCTACGTATGCTTGACCTGAGACTCTAAATTCTACTCTTTTCTCTCAAGACTCCTTCCCGCTGTGCCCCACCTCCTTTTACATCTGTTTGTAAACCTCCAGGGCTGAGATTAACTCAAAAGACATGACTTTCTCCCATTCTCCACCCCACCTCCCAGTACCCAATGGATTTACAGCTTGTCTGTATTGTTCCTGCTGTGAGAGGGGAAACAAATGTTAGAAATGTTATTAAAAAACAAAGACAATTGGTTAATAAACTTTCTTCTCCTTTCTTTGAGAAAGCCTCAAGCATCCCAGACTAGCCATAAACCCACTATGTGACAAGGATGATCATAAACTTTTGCTCTTCCTGCATCTACCTCCTAGGTGCTGAGATCACAGGCACGAGTCAAAGTATTTGCTTAGTCCTGGGGACTGAACTCAGGATGGTGAACATGCTAGACAAGCACTTTACCACAAGTGATATTACTTTAGTATCCACGAGTGATACTACTTTCCAACTACAAACCTAACAAGAACTGTTACACTGTGTGGTGGTTTAAATAGAAATGGCCTGCATACACTCACATGTTTGAATGCTTGGCCCACAGTGAATGACACTATTAGGAGCTGTGGTCTTGGTGGAGGAAGTGTCACTGGGGTGGGCTTTGAGGGCTCAGAAGCTCAAGCTACAACCTGTGTGGCATCTTTTCCTGTTGCCTCCAGATCAAGGTGTAATACTCTCAGCTCCTTCTCCAGCCCCATGCCTGCCTACACACTACCATGCTTCCTGCCATGAGGTGAATGGACTAAACCTCTGAACTGTAAGCCAGTCCCAATTACATGTTTTCTATGAATTGTGTAGTCATGGCGTTTCTTCACACCGACAGAAACCCTAAGACACACTGTATCCGAGAGTTGTATTTGTCTTAAGTGTTATTCTACGAATTCAGAAGAAACTGAGAAGTTCTAGTAGCTTTTTAAAAAGTGAATTATTTTGGACATATAAAAAGTATCTACTGGGGGGGCTGGAGAGATGGCTTAGAGGTTAAGAGCATTGCCTGCTCTTCTAAAGGTCCTGAGTTCAATTCCCAGCAATCACATGGTGGCTCACAACCATCTGTAATGAGATCTGGTGTCCTCTTCTGGCCTGCAGGCATACACACAGAATATTGTATACATAATAAATAAATAATTTTTTTTAAAAAAAAGTATCTACTGGGGGCTGAAGAGATAGCTAGCGAAGAGCACTGCTCTTCCAAAGGATCTAAAGTCCCAGCATCCACAAGGCTCAGAACCATCTGTCACTCATCCCAGAGGATCTGGTGCCCTCTTCTGGTTACTTAGGGCACTGTAAGCACATGGTGTACAAACATGCAGGTAAAATATCCAAACAAGCAAACAAACAAAAACCAACTACCAAACCTTAAACCATCAGTTCTCAACCTGTGGACCATGACCCTTTACGACCTTTCACAGGATCGGTAAAACCATCAGAAAGTATAGATATTTGCACTATGATTCGTAACAGTAGCAAATTTAGTCATGAAATAGCAACAAAAATAATTTTATGGTTGGGGGTCACCACAACATGAGGAGCTGTATTAAAGGGTCACAGCATTAGGAAGGTTGAGAACCACTGCCTTAAAGTACTACCCAGCTTAAGGGAAAAAACCACCACCAAACCAGTTTATATCACCTCCTACCAAATTTCTGCTTTGCCTTCTGAGAGGGAACCAATGTTTCTGACTTGTGATCTAGCATCCCTAGCCTTTCTTATAAATATTCCCAAGTAAGACACAATTTTATTTTGTACATCCCAAAGCTTCACAAGTCTGCCCTGTTTGTGAGGTACATGTTAGGACACATGGATGCCTAGTTCAGTTTGTAGTGCCAGACCCAAAGCAGAGTCATCTGACCCTCTGGAGTTAATGCCACATCCAAGGACAGTATAAGTGAGCCAAGAGAAAGGACACACTACTAACATTTGGAGGGGGACGGGAAAAATCAGATGGAAAGAGGGAAGAAAACATACTATTACGGTAAGAGGGGGAGTGGAGAAAAGTACGGCTCGAGAGATCACATGGCACCAGGGTTGCAGGCTTCCTCCGAGGACTGAGGCATACAAGGCAAGGAGAATGAAAAGCAGGACCATAAATGAAAGCAAATCATCTACAGATAGCATGGTACTTGGTACTCACCCAATGGCTACTAAATCTTCATGATGAGGTGAACAAGTAAGACAGAAAATGGTCCTGGGCTCCGGGAAGAAGTGCTGGCTGTCATTTCTGTTAAGCCAGTAACAGAACACAACTCCTTTTTCATCCCCAGAGACAATTAAGTCCTTAACCGTCGGAGACCAATGCAGGGCTGATATTGTGTGCTTCAAACAAACCAAAACCAGGTAAGTCTCATCTGTCAGTGTCGTACTGTAAACCAGCCCAATGTAAGGCACATTAAGAAATGTCTAAAGCTATCTGTATAGTAATACGTTAAATCTAAAGAGAGAACTTTTTGTGTTTTTGAGACAGTCTCACTCTGGAGTCCAGAGGATGGCCTGGAACTCAGAGCAATCCTCCCGCCTCAGTCTCCTGAGTCATGCACCCCCGTGGGCTTTCTGGACACACACACTTTTATTTATGTGTGACTGGGCAAGTTCATGCCATTTGTTTGTATGCGGGGGCTGGAGTAGGGCGCTGAGTTGTGAGATACCGCACGTGGGTGATGGGAACCCAACTTTGGTCCTTTGGGAGAGTGGGAAGCACTCTTAGCTGCTGAACCCTCTCTCGAGCCCCAAAGTCTTTTGTGCTGTGGGGAGCATGTGCCACAGCTGAGTGCATGGCAGTCAGAAGACTACTCATGGAGCCAGTACTCTCTGACTTTTATGTGGTTCCCAGAGATTAAATTATTCAGAGAGCTGAGAGATGGCTCAGTGGCTAAGAGCATCCAGATGCAGTCAACAACCTTCAGTCACTTCGGTTTTCACCTCTTCTCATCAACACAGACACCAGGCACACAGGCAAACACTTATACACATACAACATAAACTTAAACAAAATATCAAAACTCAGGTCGTCAGGTTTCATGACAAGCTCTTTGACCTCAAAAGCCATTTTATCTGCCCAGGTGTTTATTTTATATAAACCTATTGGCCTGAAGGGATGGCTCAGCCATTAAAGGCTAGGCTCACAACCAAAACATATAAACCTATCTGTTAGACTTTGTAGATCTTGCTATCTGTCACTGTTCCTCACCTGTTGCTGTTTCAGGAAAGCAGCCACAGATAAGAATTAGTGACACAGGCAGTGGTGGCGCACGCCTTTAATCCCAGCACTTGGGAGGCAGAGGCAGGTGGATCTCTGTGAGTTCGTGGCCAGCCTGGTCTACAAGAGCTAGTTCCAGGACAGCTAGGGCTGTTACACAGAAAAAGAAAAACCTTGCCTCGAAAAACCAAAAAAAGAAAAAGAAAATTAGTGACTAGGGGCTAGAGAGATGGCTCAGTGGTTAAGGATGCTCTTCCGGAGGTACTGGGTTTGACTTCCAAAACACACATAGTAGCTCACAACTGTCTATAATGGGATCAGAATGCCCTCTTCTGGTGTGCAGACATGTATACACATAAAAACCACCAGTATACATAAAAAAGACTTAGTGACTACATGGATCCACACTTTAGTATTACTTTCAGAAATAGGTAGCATAGCTCACTTGTGGTCTGTCTGCCCCACCCCCCACCTCTGTGTGTGTGTGTCTCTCTCTCTCTCTCTCTCTCTCTCTCTCTCTCTCTCTCTCTCTCAGACAGGAGCTCCTGCAGACCAGGTTGGCCTTGGAATCCAGTTCCCAAGTGCTAGAATTATAGATGTGCACCACCATGCCCGTTTATACAGTTCTAGGGCTCGAACCCAGGACGTTAGATCCCCTACCTCAAACTTTTTTTTTTTTTTGGTTTTTCGAGACAGGGTTTCTCTGTGGCTTTGGAGCCTGTCCTGGAACTAGCTCTGTAGACCAGGCTGGTCTCGAACTCAAACTGTTAGAAGCCCTTCCAACACATCTAACAAATGAACACTGATTATTAACATTCCTTTGCATGGAGGAGGCATATTAAAACACTCTGCGGACTCAGGATGAATGTTACCTGATGGAGTGAGTGCTCTGTCACCACTGCCTTGGTCTCCACATCCCAGATTTTCACAGTCCCGTCATCGGAGCTGGTGGCACAGAGGTTGTACTGTCCAGGGTGATGAGAAAAAGTGAAGCCGGATACTCTTTCAGTGTGTCCCACCAACTCTCCTACAACTGCAAGTGAAACCAGACTTGTTTAACTAAACCACTATCCAGACAACTCGCATGCAGCTGGATGAACATGCGGTGACCGGAAGTCACCGTAACACAAGTGGAACAAAACCCTTCAGGCACTCATAACAGAAATGCCAGGAGCCAGAAGCCCGGGACTTCACACCGATTCATTTTCTTTGAACCTCAGTATTCTCATCTATGAAGCAATCTTCACATCCTCTGTTGGGCCCAGTTCACAGGCTGAGGACCAAGCTTAACTTAGTCCACAGGTGAACGTTAAAGCCATTTTTACCTAATCCTGCCATAGGTCATAAAGAATAGAATAAGCTGGTATTTCATAACGAAAAGGCATAATCAAACCCTGGTTTTTGTTTGCTTCGTTTTCTTTTGTGTCAAGATCTTGCTATGGCGCTCTGGCTGGCTCGGAATTCACTCATGTAGCCTAGGCTGGCTTTGAACGTGCGGAAATCCTCCAGCCTCAGCCTCCCGAGTTGCAGGGATCAGACAAGCATCATCGCACCTGGCGCAAACTCAGCCTCACCCCACTCATCCTACAGAAATCAGCATCCCGTTATTACGCTGCAGGAGCAAGGAATCGAGAACAGCCCCTACCCCAGGGGGCGTCCCAGGGGCCGGCGGGGCCTTGGCAAAGGGAGGAAGCGCGGTAAACTCCGGGTCTAGCCTGGGCCAGCCCCTCCGAGCGTAATGGTCCCACGTGGGCAAGCTTGGTACGAGCCGGCGACCTACAGACCCCGCAAAGCAAGGCAGGAAGGAACGCGCCGGCCCGCGGGGGGCTCACCTCGAAACGGGGGCGCCCCTGGGTTCGCGCCCGCGCTCGGGCCCACGCGGACGAGAAAGACGGAGGTCCGCGCAGCGAAGCCAAAGATGCCTCCGGGTGCCGCGTCGCTGCAGCGCGCGCAGTACCAGTTGGGTGACGGCGGCAGCGAAAGCGGCTCTGGTTTCATCTCCGCGGCCGCCGAGGCTCAGGCGAGCAGCTCCGGTGGTGTGGTTCGCAACCGCGGCGTGTAGCGGGAGGGGCGGTACCAAGGTGAACCCCGCCCCTGAGGCGGGCGCTACGGAGCGCGCCGAGGTCCAAGCCGCGCTGTAGTTCGCGTGCGCCACCTGGGACTGAATTCAGGGCCCTGAGGTTAAGCATTTTCCTTAATTAAGGGATTAGACCGGTGGAACCCGCCAACCAGCCTCTGCAATTTAGTCTTCAGGGCAGTTCAGTATCCCAGTTTTTTTTTTAATAAAAAAAAAAATTTTTTTAAAGATACGTAGCGGCGTACTTTGCCAGTTTGGGAGTGTCCCTCCACCCCCACCCCGACAGTGTTTCTCTGACAGTTGCAAGGATATATTTAACTAAATACTAAACGAATGATTTGGAGCTCTGGCTAAATCCTAGCACTCAGGGAGCTGATGCAGGAGGATTGCCGTGAGCTCCAGGCCAGGCAGCCCGGGTTATCATGTGAGAGCCTGTTAAAATAAAATAAATCAGGTTGCCAGTGGACAGCTTGCGGGAGTTGGGTCCCTCCTTCCATGATGTGGGGTCTGCAGACTGAGTCAGGCTTGGCAGAAAGTTCCTTAACCAGCTGAGCCATTTCACTGCCTCCGTTTGTTTTTTGTTTTATTTTGAGACAGGGTCTCACTATGCAGCTCTGACTAGCCTGGAACTTGCTTTGTAGACCAGACAGGCATTGAACTCACAGAAATGCTCCTGCCTCTGCCATCCTGAGTGCTGGGATTAAAGGTGTGTGCCATCATGCCTGGCAATTTGATGTTTGAGTTTTCTCAATAATCTTCACAAACTTTTGTGTAAGGAGAGTGATGTCTCCCCCCCCCCCTTTCTTTCTCGATAGGGTGTCATAGTTCTGGAAGGCCTGGAATTTGCAGTCCAGTGTGCTTTTGAACTTGTGATCGTCCCGCTTCAGCCTCTTCTATGCTGAGATTACAAACATGCGCCAAGAGCCTGGCTTACTTTTCTTTTGAGACAGAGCCTGGCTTGTGTATCACAGTGTGTTCTTGTGCTCCCGACTCTTTAACACGTCTCTTATGCGCTGATGTTGCAGTCATTTCTAAGAAGAACAATGAGGTCCACTGCGGAGACAGTTTGTGGAACAAGCCCGCTTCCATTTTAGGCTTAAAAGATATCTTATTGTAAAGAGAAACTAGGTTCATTCCTGTTTATGATTAAACCTCTGTTTCTCAAGGATTGGGCTATGCCCCATCTGTAACCTTAACTACAGATGGTTGTGTACTGTCTGTTACAAGAAAGACCGTCCATCCATGCCTTTGTTTCAAAACCATCTTGCAACTCTTTCTTGCAAAAGGTTGTTATGGCTACCTTGTTACAGGCACCTTGCTGTCATATCTTTGTTTCAGGAGTTTGTCATAACTAACTTATGTTTATATTCTGCTCCTATAACCCCACCTTATTTTGCTTGCCAACTCCCCCATTTGGAAGCTCTCTACCCCTGAACTAAAAAACCCTTGTCTTCCTCAGATCCAGTGCCCGACCTCTCGAACCCTGTCTTAGGGGGAGGCAGCTCATATACATGAATTTAAAGAGCTTGCTTTAATTAATTGCTTGTTAATTAATTTGGCCATAATGATTTGGGTCGCTGGTCTTTCTCTTTGTATTTTTGGACTCGAATCTTTGGGATGAACAGGTTCTCCTGTTCGTTCAGGCTGTTTATGGGTGAGACTACAATTTTTCTGAATCTAGGTGAATTTCCGGAAATCCACCGATTTTCCGTCTTTTTTTTTTTTTTTTTTTCGAGACAGGGTTTCTCTGTGGTTTTGGAGCCTGTCCTGAAACTAGCTCTTGTAGACCAGGCTGGTCTCGAACTCACAGAAATCCGCGATTTTCCGTCTTTATGAGGTCATTCATTCTAAAGCAAGGCTGGTCTGACCAAACTTTTCGCCTGAACTACGCATTCTAGGTCTCCATGACAACGCATTCAGAATTTCCGAGTTGGCTTTGGCCTCCTACTGCGCATGCGTGCTGCCAGCCGGCGTTTGAACTCGGGGGCTTCCGTAGGGCCAGCATGGCGGCGACTGTGCTGCGAGAGTTGGGTAAGACTTAAGGCTTTCCTAGAACTTGGGAACTGGGAGACTGTGAGAATCAGAGCTGACAGCGCGTATTCATGTTGTAGGTGCACTGTGGATACCTAACCTGAGGATCTGGGCAACGCAGACGCTGCGGTAAGTCTCGCGCCACGGAGATTCTAGCGGCCCTGGCTGCGCCGCGTCCTCGTCCCTCACTGGGCGCTGGTGTGCGGGGCTGTGCGTTAGGCCTCGGGTGGGAGAGCTGCACGGCCCGAGACGGTGAAGATTGTTGCCGAGGCTTCGCTCAGTGTTTTCTGAACAGCCTCTCCCTATTATCTGGCCACAATTCGATTCTTCCACGTCGTGTGGTATACCAACAAACATTCCTACTTACTTCTTTGGTTACCTGCGTGGGCAAGGACTGTTTGGAGACTCGAAGTTTGCCTGACATTGTGCAGAACGCGCTCTCGATGTTGTCTCTCAGCGCCTCGGGCAAATGGAGTTTGACCCTTTTGCTCCGCAGAGCGTTGTGGAGCCTTTCCATACAAGCTTCTTATTTATTTATTTTTATTTAGGTCAGGCTGGCCTCCACCTCCTAGTTATAGGTTGGGATCCTAGGCCGGGCAACATCATGCCAGGAGACAAATATTCTTTTGTAGAAGTTAAGGAATGCAGTTGAGTTAGCACTGGCGTGGAGCGATAGCGCACTTAGGAAAGTTTCGATTGCATATACAGCACTTGTAAATTAATTGCTTTGTTTAGACATTTTCCTTTAATCCGATTATGGTAATCTGGTACTGGCTTGATTCAGCTGAAGACCACTTGAGTCTTGAGAATGGTGTAAGTATTCCTAAGACTTCGCCATTATTAATTCATGGCATCCTTCATTTACCAAGCTTTATATTTAATTTGCCAAATCCATATCGAGGATTTGAGGAGAGGAAGGCACTGCTGCATGAAGGGACGTCAGAAGGTTGCACCTCACGCTGAAGGACTCCTGTTCATTAGTTTATCGTAGTGGCTTCTTAGAGGAAGGCAGAGCCGAGCAGTTCATGGTTCTGTTGTCCATGAGTGATGATTCAAAACAATGTTAGAGGCCGTCAGACACAGTCACATTCTTCTTTCTTACACACAAGAAAACCAAACCCAAAGAGGTGACAGTGTACCCACTGGTTTAATGGTGCAAAAAAATGTGACCACTCAGGAGTCAAGCTGGAGAAGGAAGTTGGAAGCTGGGTACCATAAGGTATGTTTAGAGGGGAGACAGGACAGATAACTGTTCGGTGAGCCTCATTTTCAATAATCCTGGCCACCAGCGACATGTCGTGTTAGATACTGCCAATGGTAATGCATCAGCTAGTTGTCCAGCAGCAACAGAATGAAGTTCATGTACCCTCCTGCAATATAAAATTAGATCTGGAGTTTACTGAGTCCCAAGAGTCAGGTTAAGCATTTTACAAGCAGTTTCTCATTCGCACTATTTCAGTATGGCCTTAAATATATTTGACAGTTTCAATTCCCTGAAGGTATTACCTTCACTAATGCTAGTGTTGTCCCATTGTGGCCCATGGGGTTATCCATAAGGGGCTCGCAGGTCCTTTTCATGTGCTTCTGTGCGCTGTGCTAGCTTGCTTGGTTTGTGATCTGGCAAACTATTTCTTACCTGTCTTGCATACTTTCTGCTTGTGACCAGCCATTTCCTCCAGAAGTTTGGTTCTTTTCAGTAGGAAATGATCTTTCAAAAACATCGTCTGGGTACTAGGTGCTCCTGGCTTCCAGGTGGGTCATTTACTGTTGGAAATTTCCATCCTTCTCTTATGTAGGTATCTGCTGGCTCCCACACCAAGACTCTCGGTTGTCAGTGACACTGGGGAAGAGAATAGAAAGATGTAATCACGGGGGATGGAGGGATGGCTCAATTACACCACTGGCTGCTCTTCCAGAGGACCTGGTTCCAATTCCCAGTACCACATGTTGGCTAACAACCATCTAACTCCAATTCTAGGGGATCTGATGCCCTCTTTTGGCCTCCAAGGGTGATACATGTCTGTGGTGCAGGCATACATATAGGCAAAATACCCATACACATACAATAAATGTGTTTATAATATATAAATAATAAACTAGGTCAGGTGTGGTGGTGCATGCCTTTAATCCCAGCACTTGGGAGGCAAAGTTAGACAGATCTCTGTGAGTTTGAGGCCAGCCTGGTCTACATAGTAAATTCCAGGACAGCCAGAGCTACACAGTGAGACCCTGTCTCAAATATCCCCCACCCTCCCAAAAAAATTGCCTGAAGCTACTCTGAAGTCCTCAGCTGTCTTTCCTGTGCTTTGGTTTATATTGTCTTCTAGTTGTTTCATTTATTTGTCTTGCATATTCGACAGAGTTGGGTCACTCCACAGGCCAGAAAAGAATAAGTCCATTGTCTTCTTTCAGTCTTTTTTATTACTAAATGGTCAGCATTTGGATTGAAGAGATGGCTCAGTGGTTTTCCAGAGGACCCAGGTTAAATTCCCAGCTAGAACAATGGTGGCTCACAGCCATCTACAGTTGAATCTAATGTCTTCTGGCGTGCAGGTGTACATGCATAAAATAAATAAATAGATTTTGTTGTTGTTTTTGTTTTTGAGGCAGGGTTTCTCTGTGGCTTTGGAGCCTATCCTGGAACTAGCTCTTATAGACCAGGCTGGCCATGAACTCACAGAGATCCTCCTTCCTCTGCCTCCCGAGTGCTGGGATTAAAGGTGTGCACCATCACTGCCCGGCAACAAATAGATCTTTTAAAAAAATGATCATCATTCACTGGTCAGGGCAAAGAGTGTAGATTAATACTTACACCATTTGACTTACACAAGCTGCAAGCTCTCATCTTAGCCTCCAATTAAACTAGCTTCTGTGAATGAACTGCCAGTGGTGAGCCTAAAGTTGCCCAAATGGTGGTGATGTGGCTTCCAAAACTGCAGCAAAGTTCCA